TTCCACGTTAAGAAATCTAGGGCTAATTGTGTGGACCGGTTTTCCGTATCAGCTCGATCTCCTGGCGAAACACAGTTCGGAGAAATCCTTTCCTTTGAGCGAAAAAACAACTCTCGTATTTCAGTATTTCTGATTAGAAAAGTAGAACTTTTGAGTATGTATTGCTTCTTTTATTTCTAGTTCTTAAAAGAGTAGCTGCTACCATATAAAGTGAATGTGATTAAACTGCTGCCATACTAAAACGTTTAGGAATATTGACTTTAGTTAGCAGAGAAAAATGCTAAAATAAAATTTTTATAATAAATAAAATACAATTTTTTTTCCCACTTAAAATTGAGAAGTCGTTACAATACATAGCATCTACAACATATTTATCAAATGGCATCGGGTGAGTTCCAGATTACATTCGAATAACAAACATATCAGTTCTAAACTTGTGCGTTGCAAATCCTAACTTAACGAGACTAAATGAAGAAGTAAAGCCTTTAGTTAATCGTTCCTCCATTTTTCTCTCTTTAACAGTTCTTTCATTTTGTAATCATTCTTCGTATGTGGAGGCTTTTATCCTACCTCTTATTATTGTTAGCAAATATTATTTTTTAATTGATAGATTTAAAACTTTGTTTTTTGTAGAAAAAAGCGAAGATGGTTCTATGATTATTTGTTATCCTGAAAAGGGGAATTTTCAAGCTAATTTAAACTAAAGAACTTGGTAACTAAAGTTGAAACTAAATAACGTAGCGATTTGGCAGATATGAAGTTAGCAAATTAAAAATTCTTTATTTATATTTCTTATAGTTTTTTTTTTTTTTTTTTTTTTTTTTTTTTAAGTGACGGTGTAAGAACTTTTTTCTGATAAAAAAAATTGTTGTAATGATGAAAGCTAGTACGAAGTAAAGCAAGTATTGTAATCGCGAAAAAATTCGGGTCAATCATATTTCAACGAAAATATCTATTTGAACGATGTTTTTGGCGTGACATTTGTACGTACAGACAGAATAAAGGACTCCCCCCCCAAACGGATTGAAAAATGGATTTGAAATAGATTCAGGAGAGATTTTTTCGTTTCGTCATAACTTGCGTTTCTATGTATCTCGCATTAATAAAATGAGAATACCTCTATTAAAATTTTATTGTTTAAAATTAAAGTAAGAGAATTACAATTTGAAATTTAAATTCCAGTTAACAGATTCGTTATTTTTAAAGTATTAAATAAATTATATTTTTTAAAAGTATTAAATAGTAAAAGACAAATTAGTATAGAAAAATTGCTTTACTAGCAATGGCCAATAGTAGTGGATATGCATAAAACTGTAATAAAAATTTGTTAAAAATGAACAATCAATAGGATAGTGAAATAATACCGACTCTTCAGGGAGAACCTACGTATTTCACACTTCCTTCAGTCGTTCAAATTATTTATTATAATAATAATTATTTGTTAATTTATATATATATATATATATCCCTCGGTTAACACACCCCTCTGTTAACTTGGCTCAGTGAGCTTAGTTTTTTATTCTTATGCGTTGGTAAATTGTGCATTTTTTGCTTTGAAAGTGATTGAAGTTTGTTGTTTGTACGTTCCAGTTAAGGTTTTCATGCCTTTAGCTTATCTGTATGCAATAGTTGTAGAATTATCAACAATTTGAAAATTGTTTCAGTTTTGTGCACCGAAAAATTGGGTGAGAAAAAAAATGGTCCGTAGAGACTCTAATTGTAATTGTAAAAATTGTTTTTTTTAACTGTTTTAACTGTATGTGGTGTTTTATATTTTTCTGTATTTTGCAGGTTTTAATGAAAATTAGTTTTTTTATGTATTTTTGCCTTGCGGCGAAGTGAGAACTGAATTAATTGAATGAGAAATATAACTTTATTGAAATTCGAGGGAATAAGTTTAAATGAAATGCAGCAAAAAATGTATATGATTTAATAGGCCGTACAAGGAAATCATGTAGTGTCCACATCAGATTTTTTTTAATCAATCGAATGAGTCAGTTTTAATTGATTTTGGAATCTATATAGAAATTAATTTTTTATTTCTACTTCAATCTCTGAGAAATAAATCTGTAAAAAAAGGGGGATGTGTAATTGATTAGTTAAGATTGAAAATTGTGAATTTTTTTATTAATATTTTAATTTGAACATTGTATATATGTGTATTTTAGTATATTTAATCGTAAAATTAATTTCACATTTGATAAAATTAAGCTTCAAATTTATTAAATTTTCATATTTTTTCGACACATATGGCATATATTTCACATTTATATGAGTGCTGGCCTGAAAATCGTGGTGCATAATCTGAAAACAGTAAATTTACAGTTTTCATCTTGTCTTGATGTGTCATAAGTTTAAGATGCTTTTATTTGAAAAGCTGGATGTAATAAACGTGAAAAGTGAATACTCGACTAATGCGTTCATAGACTTCAGAAAAATTTTTAAATTAAGGATATTGAAATATTGCTCCTAAATTTTAACTAAATGTTCTGCTTTCTGAAAGTTAGATTGTTTCTATGAAAACTCTTTGTAAAATGAGGGAAAAGTTAACATTAATAGAAAAATTTAGAGTTTTTACCGCCTCTCTTACAAAATGAATAAAAATGTCAAAATGACACATAAGAAATAAATTAAAATTTTACGTTTATTTTTGAAGAAAAATTTAATTCCAATATTTTAAAATTGTATGTGTATATATATTGTTCTCAAAGCCCTCAATGATAGCGTACAAGTCTACTTAATTGCTTCGGTATAGAAAGATTTCTTATTTGCAAAATGGCATTTATAGTTCTTAAATACATCTTAAATGCAAAATAAACTTTTATAGTTTTAAAGTACTTTCTAAATAATATTTATTTAAAAACTCTTTTCATAACCCAGCAGCGCTTACAGCTATTGTGAGGAAAGTTCGCAATATTTGGAACTTTCGTCTTGTAGAACTCGAGATTGTAAATTTAGAATAAATTGCAAAAATTCAAAAAGGCCGTCTTTCAAAGTTCCTGTTTCGTTTTCCATTAATGGAAACAAAACTCTTAAAATACTTCCCTCTTAACAAGGAATTCTTCATTGTTAGTGTTACAGTAGTCATAATTTAGTTGATATTCGTAATTTTTATTCAAAAGTTTCAGTGGAATAAAAAAAGTGTAACATATCTATCGTAGCTCTAGAAATCCCGTGGTGATTTCTTTGAATACTTTACCTCGAATAAAAGCTATTTTGTCCTCAATTGAATTCGGTATACAATTTAGAATGTAATTATTTTTTACGTTCCTCGACTCTCTACGCGAAAAATGCAGCCCTCAAAAATGTGACTTCCAAGCAAACTACACCCCCCCTAGCCTACACCACTGAAATCAACTGAATAAAGTTTAAAATATCACTAACATTTAGTAAAATTAAGAATAATTTGATAAATATACGCCTCATATAACCAGAAATGACAAACATACAACGTGATTTCGTTATCTAATGCTGAGAAGGTAATAAATACCATGAAAGATGGAGTTAATAATTATCATGATGATGCTTTACTGTGCAAGAGATTATGAAAGAGAAAGGAAAAATGAACGTATACGTTTTATGGATGTTTGCATTCTGAGGTCTCTATCTACAATTGTAGTCTCCATTTACCTTTATATCAATTATTGGCTTACTCTGAAAATTGAAATCCAGCAGTATCCTTCATTGCTTATACTTTATTTTGTTATTCAACTCTTCAAAGGTGCTGAAAACATGGCACGAAATTATTCTAAATACACACGTGCGTTCTCTCTTAATCACTTCATAATTTTCTATGATTTCCAAAACAAACGCTGGATTATGTTTTATTGATTCATGTCATATTGCGTGATTACACTAGCACACGTTTAGTAAAAGATAATACTCTCCATTGACTTAAGCATTTATATGGCGTGGAAAAATTACCAATTCTTCAAGCCTTTTACATAGCCTAAAATATTGTAAATTCAGCAAATCCTGCCATTATATCCTGCATAAAATCTTTACAGCTTATCTTTTCAATTATACTATTGCATTTCTTAAAGCAAAAAGTAATTAAAACTATACATACTTCTTAATAACATTAATGCTATTAATAAAAGTCATTTCTAAGCCACTTCAGAGAGAAAACATTTTTAATAGGATGAATGAAGCGTAAAACATTGTAGGTTTTCCCTTATTTTGCATAACAAAGTTATTTTAAGTTTGATACCTTTCCTGAATGCCTCAACTTCCCCTCACATTTTCTCGCCAGGATGTAAATTTAAAGTATAATGAAGTGAGTATTTAAACGGGTGAATCTCTAAGTTTATTCAGAGCGTGTTTTGGCTAGGCAGAGCACGTTTCGTTACTATATCGCTGTTACGCTGGTAAACCTCTTGGCCATTTCGGGTTATCGTCACGCCTGTTAGGACTTTCTTGAGTTAACCTGTTACTTAACGTGCTAATCCAGCTCTACTTTATTTTAGAATTTTGACTTGAATTATATTCTATGTTTCAGTTTCACCGCAAGTTGATGGTGCCATTGTAAAGCACGAAGATCGTGCCCTTCTGTTAATTGACTTAAATAAAGGGTTATTTTCACCCTTCTTCTGTGCTGGTAATTTATTCACAGGTTCATTGTAGGATCTAATTTCGTTTATGTGGAATAACAGAGACAGATCTTAAATGGAATGGTTTCTACCTGATCTTCGCTCTTCATAAAAAAAAGTGATTTACTTCTGAAAGCTTTAACTTTATGCAGTACTCTGTTAATAGTTGTGTATGGTTCTTTATTACATGTGTTAATGTTATGTTGATGTTAAATTTACTTTGTATTTGGGCCTCAATTATATTATTTAAAAATAATTTTAGTTTAATTTTGCATTTATTATTTTGAAAAATTATGTTGATTTTACAATTCAAATTAGATAAAAAATTTTCAGTTTAATAAAAAAATTTAATTTAGAATTTTTGACTAATTTCCAATTATTCTTATCCGTGTCTATCTAATGTTTCCTTAGGTTGAGCTATTCATCTCATAATGGGTGATCATTCACATCATGGACATCATTTTCATCCTGCGATGCAGAATAGCAGCGAGGATTCCATTTACAATACCATACCTGTCACAACTGCAGCAACATTAATGCAAGCAGTAATGACAACAGTCATGTCCTCACACCACCATCATCACTCTTCTATTGAAACACAGGCTGGACATAGTGTGGACATGGAGCATGTTCCTCAAGACTCTGCACATCTTTCACATGTTCATTCAAGTCCTGTGGCACACAGTGGAGATCACATGCAGGTACATATTAGCTGTCTTTTTATATTGTTCGAATAAAACATTTTGAAGCATTTTTAGGGGGAAATTTTTGTATTGCTATTTATTTGTTTTTAAATGAAGCTTTTCCCAAATTTAATTTTCTGAATCCCCCCTATATATATTAATAGTATAGATTTATGCATTTCTATACATATAAAGGTTTAAGATGTATGTAAATGACCTTCAACTGCTTTAATATTTATGTTATACTAATAGTTGAACATTAAAGTTATGAATTTATTCTGAAGTATATTGGCTGTGTATAAAAATTCTATTCATTTTATCAATGCAAACTTTGATTGATTTACAGCTCTAATGACACCGACTGACTGGAATCTTTTTACCATAAAAAAGTAAAGCTATAAGGCATCCAAAGGCACTGAATATGTTAGATTAATTTGCGCATTTAATAGTTTATAAAAGTTAACAATCGGAGCATATTAAGAGTTTGATAATACTGCAGGCCATGTTTATTATAGCATTTATCATGTGTACAGAAAGAATGCAGATAATGATAGTATATGTCACCACTGGTATTAGAAATTCTGAAACAGAGACAAAGTGTTTGGATCAATTATATTTTGGGCATTCATCTCTGCTTTCTCATAAAATTATAAAATTCATCATAAATCACTGGTGGATATTCCATTCCATAAACATGAACCATATCCAACTGTCTGTAGTTAAGTGTAAATATTGTTGGTATGCAGAACTAAAGCTAAAAGATATATGCAGGTATCTAGGTTCATTAAGAACTTTATTCAGTGTGTTTCATATAAGCTTCCAAGAGAGCATGTTTAACAACAAGAGAAGAGAGTTAGTACACATACTTCTTTGCTTTCTCACTGCAGAAAACAATAATTTTTGGAACATTTCTTAATGGGAGATGTGAAAGAGATATTGTAAAGCAGGGGTTCCCAACCGTATGCTTGAAAGTACCATGGCACCCGCCAGTCATTTAACATGTGCCTGCTGCTGTGTGATCACAATAAAAATGTTTTAGTTTTCAATAAAATTCTATGTGAAGATATTCTCATTTGTATTGAAATAAAAATTGTGTCCAACACAGATACCAACACAAAGCGAAATGTGACCAATCTCTTTTTCTATGTGCATATATCCAACTATAAATAACTTTATCCAACTATAAATTCACCTTGAAAAGGTAAATGGTGCCCACCATCCAACAGATATTCTAGAATGTGCTCTTAGGTAAAAAAGGTTGGGGACTCCTGTTCTAAAACCTGTGTTGTGAGTTTCAAAACTGTGAACTCAACCTCAAAAAGTAAAATGCACCCTAAAAAGATGTTTTTTTTTTTTTTTTTTTTTTTTAATGTGGAATGTTATATCAAGAGAATAATATACTGATATATAACCGAACAATAAATGCAGATCTGTATGGCCAACAGCTGAATAAACTGAGACAATTGACATCTTAGAAGCCAACATTCTTTAGTGTTGGCTGCCTTAGGTATACACTGTCTTTATTCTTGATAATACCAGACCTCATGTTTTGCCACTCAAAAAAATTACTAACCTTTTCTTAGGAAATGTTACCCATGTCGGAGTTATATCCTTGACCTTTGCTTCTAGACACTACCATCTCATTCAGTCATTGCAGAATGCTCTGCAAATCTTTGATGATGTAATAAAATAAGTATTTTTGTGAGATTTTTTCGTTTCTAAAAGAGGAATTTTATTGCTGCAGTAAACTATTACTAGAAAGGTAGCAGGAAAAAATCTCTATCATAGTCAAAAATATCGCTGTCAATTATTTGAAATTGGAGCTTTTGTATTCATTATTTTTCTTGTTTGACTTAGGAAAATGAGTAGTACTTTTGCACACACCTAAAAAAAAGTTGGAGCTAAGCGTCTTCTATTAATATTAAATTTCTTCTGATATTTAAACTTAATTAAATAAAATATTTTCTATATATAATGTTCAGTTTAATGTATAAAAATATGAAATAGATATTGGGTTGCTTAATTTTAGGTACAATAAATTTATTTGCTTAAAATCTGTAATAAAGTAATTATCATATTTACTCACAAGTTTTCCCCTTTGCTTAATTCCCCCTCCCCAGTTTTTTTCAGCATGTGATTTAGAAACATCTAATTTATGGCAACAATATAAAATGTATGCACATATGAACTATTTTGTATTAGTTAAAATATTTTTGACATTCATAAGTCCTTTGAAATACATAACATGATAATGTTAGTATGTCTTTGTATGTGCATTTTAATATACTATGTTTATCATTTAAGCCATCTCTTCAGAAATAGTACACTACACATTTTTCTCTTCCCAGTTTTTACATGAAGAAAGTAGTAGGAAAAAGGGGTATATGTGAGTAAGTATGGTATTTGTAAATTATTTAACAATGGCTTTTATTTCCAAAGTGCCCATGAAAATTGTTTTGGGTGATCTGTATCATATGTAAAAATTTGATTTCTCATACTTTGGAATTAATCAGCATAATGTGCAAAATTATTTCAGTATTTTGTAACTTCAATTGAACAAATAAGATAAGCATTCATTTTTATATATTTTGTGCCTTATACTATGCAAAAAATAGTTTATAATTGTTATATAAGCAGATATATGTGCACTTTAGAAAAGTTAATTTGTTAAAATGATTTTTTTTTTTTTTTAATATTTGGGATTTTTGTTACTTATTAAATAAACCACATAATGAAATATTTACAAATTAAGTATGGATGGAAAATGAATTGAATTTTGTATTTTCAAATATTATCCAGTCTAAAATATTATCCATTCTATTAATTAACTTGATTATTTCCAACTTGCTCATCTTTCTAAATTCTACAAATTTAATTTAAACACTCTTATGCTATTTTATAAATGTTTTACCTGTAAATAAACTAAAACTTTTCCCAAATGAAGTGGATTGTTACAAAAAGTTCTATAAATGTGTTGCATTATATTTTTTAATCTAACTTATCTTCTTTCATTTATAAATCAAAATATTCACAGAATCTGTGCGAAACTGCTATTCTTAGAATTTCTATCTTAATCCAATCACTAAGAAACATTGTCTAGAAATTATAATTTAAATTGAGATAAATATGTGTACTGTTTATATAATTACAAATCTTTGTCACTGTTTTGCTTAAATGTTGCATATTTAATGAAGTATTTCATTATGTGTTTTTATAAAAGTACTTAATAGCCACTGTATCAAGTGTAACGAGGTCGAAAGTCTTGCTGTATCAACTTAGTATGTGAGATGCACTATTTTTCTGCCTATTTAAAATGTTAGCATTTATTCTGCATCTAATACATCTACTTTTACTAACCAAAAACACATTTTTAAACATTCAGAGAATTAATAATGTAATTTAACTTTTACACATTTTAAATGATTTAAAATCTAGAGTTTATGTTAAAAGCATGGAGTAATTATTTTTCCCTTGGGATATCAATAGAAACACTGATGATATTAAATCAAAAAGTCTTCAACTTCTTCAACTTTATTTTAAGCATGTTCGGTTATAAATTTACCTTTCTAAAGTCAGTTCATTTTCTTCTTTAACATGCTAGCAATGAGCATATAAAGCATATTAGTTTCTAATTTCCATATGAAGTACAATACATCAGTTTTTTTTTTTTTTTTCTTATTACCTGCTTTGCCCTTGGGCACTACATGGAAAGGGAGGAATACCCCGTGGAGGTCTTTTTAAGGGAAACTGGCTCGTATCCTTGTTGCACATGGGGAAAACCACAAAAACACTCATGCAGCCAGCCCGTTTGCCGGGACTCGAACCCCGCACCAAACTACCAGTGTTCAGCGGCTTTTACCACTTGACCACTGGTGAGCCAATACATCAGGTTTGACTTCTGTTTTCATAAATCCACATGGAAAGAATTCTTTTATAAAAACACTATTATTATAGCAAAATGATGCATAGAAATTTTTTCTTTAATCTTGATTCTACCAACATTTTCAAATAGTTGTTTTTCTCTCTCTCTTTCCCGTTTTTTAAAATTTTTTTAACATAGTTATTTACTTAATTATCTTTTCTTTAAAACACTTTTCTGAAAATGATACTCATCCTGTATACTATAGCATAATATTAAAAAGATCTGTTAGATAATTTAACATTTATTCTTTCAGTTTTACTCAATAAGGAAAACATATTTACTTTAGTTTTAGTAGCCCAAAGGAGCATTAGCTCAGAAGGGCTAATAATTTCATTAGAGTGTAGAATTAGAGCGTAATCCTCCTGCTGAAGGGTGCGTTTTCTAATTGATTTGCTTGAGAAAAGTATTCTGTTGCGTTGCCTTATTCTCACCATTAGGCTTATCATGCCGACTTTAAGTAGGAACCAACTAGCATGTTTTGTGTCTGTGTAACCTTTCGGCTAACTTAAGTCATAATTTTAAATTTGTTATTTTTGATTTAAGCCATGAATACTATCTGTTCTGTAAACCCGAGCAGTTCCTTCTGTTAAACTTTTATTTGAGTTAAATAAAAGGGTCTTTTATACCCTTTGTAATTTCTTTTGCAATTTCAAAGACATAGTGATAATTTACTTTGTAGAACATAAAGATTTCTTGGAAGCAGGAGACATCAAAAATGGGAAATGTCTTCACCGGTAATCGAACCACGGATCTCTCGAATACCTTGTGAGCGTGCAGACCACTACACCACAAAGGCACGCTAAGAAGGCGGGAGAAATACCTTATAACTTTAGGTCTAAGAGATCTGATCTATGCTACCAAAGGAGATGAAACTCCAGAAAACAATAGCTTGAATCCCTACATTTATAATTTAGTTTTGGGTAATGTTTAATTGTCATTTATATGTCATGATATTTCCAGAACGCTGAATAAAATGTCCGATGCCTTCGGTGAGGATAATATAGGAGTAAATAAGGTAAAAATTGCAGCAAGCTCTAAATTAAAGCACTGTGATAAGTTAAATATTAATGTGAACTTGATTTAAAATATTTAGAAATAACAAGACAGATATTTTTAGTCCAAAGGGGCTTTGTCCCTGAGGTATTAATGTTTTCGTTTTGCTATTTTGCATTGAAAACTTTAAATATCTGTTTAACTTTTCAAATTGTTGTCACCAAATATTATCGTTCTGTATTATATATAAAGAAATTAAATAATGAAGAATCTGCATAAATGCATGTATGTTTCTTGCATTATGATAAAAAAATGGTACCTAGAGTCATAAAATTTTGAGTAATCCTCCACTGAATAGGGGCATCTGGAAGCCTTAATTTGGAATTTGTTTTATTATCGATTTCATATTTTATAAAAATTAAAGAATTTTTTATTAACAAACTCAATGATATCAAAACAAGGAATGGCAACACTGTACGGGGGAAAAAAAATATTATCTCCAACATGCGAGACTGTGTATCCGAAATTCTAAAGATATCTTCTTTTAAATATTTTGTGATATTACTGTTGCAATGAATTTCATAGTTTAAGTGCAAAGAACATGATATTTAATAAGTAAAGGTAACATACAAAATGTTAAAAAATACCCCTTTGGGGTGTAATATAAAAGCATATTATATAAAATCATATTGTATCTACAGAGTGTATATAAAGTTTTTTTTTTTTTTAGGCTGTTTAATTGACTTCTTGTTAAAATATCTTTAGTATATCCATTTGATGAGACTATTTCATATGAGCCTGTTTCTTTCTTCATAAAACATCTTAAAAAATGTAATGCCATTTTAAATGCTAACTACTTGCATTCAGGCCATCAGAATATTATCTCTAATTTCCAAATTTTTACCTTTTGTGTCTTTCAATAATGCTTTTCGTGATTTATGATTATGTCTGTTAGATATGGCTTATGCACTTTTATTTTAAAATGTTTTTGAAAATTCGTTTTTAGAATCATTCTCTGAATTTCATATTTAATGAAGTATTACTTCAGGAAGTAGCCTAATCTCTAAATTTTAAAATTAATAGTGTAAGAAATATGTAATACTTTGAAATTTTCTGAGGATAGCAGTTTTTTGCAAGATACATATATTGTTTTCAGTATGTGTGATTCTTCTCACTGAGAAATTCTTTCACTCATTGGAGTGAGATTGGAATATATACCTAGCTAATATCTAAAATTTAATTGTATTTTGTATTTTAAGCTATTAAGTCATAATTTTCCTGTTATAGATATGTGTATTTATTTATATAGTTATATATTTCTTTCAGATGTATTTTCACTTTGGAGTAGATGCTATAATTTTATTTAAGGAATGGACTACCTCAACAACTGCAGGTATTCTGGCATTTCTGCCAAATTTCCAAATATCCAAATATATGGTATTTCCAAATTTCAGATTTGATAAAAAATAGCTAATAATTTTTCTTTACCTTGTGTTTGATCGTAGTTTCATATTGCTTCCTTTCATATTCATGTGCATAGATTATTTTATTTTGAGATGGGAAAGAATGCAGTGTTTTTTCAAATGTTTTATTTTTTCTCTTTATTACTGCTTATTTTTCTCCAGTTTGGTAATAAAATAACGAGAAGTATTCAAGCAAATAATTTCTCCTATGCTTCTAAATTTACATTGCTTTTTTTTTTTAACAAAATCTAACTGCATCTAATGCATATCTGCTCTGAATTACTTATATACAAATAATTTTCATTGATGATGATCAGCCAATGACATCTATTTCAAAATTTTCAGATTCTTAAAAGGTATGTGTGTGAGAGAGTTTTAATTTTTTTTTAAACTTCATTCAATGTAGGATGTGATATATCTTCTGTTGCTCATAAAATAGCTGTAATTTAGAAAACAATAACTTATTTAAAATGTGCATGTACATGTATTATCATATTAAATGATAATTAGTATTATTGATGCTAAAAGTAAAAATATTTATATTCATCCAACATAATTGCCAAAGATAACAGTGAAATTGTCGATTAGTGCAACAGAAAAATTTATCTGTAGCACATAAGCAGTGAACACACTAGTAGCACTGTACTGCCATCTTGCATGCAATTTACTTTGATATCATTGTTTAGCGGATCAAGGAGCTGTAAAGAGAAATATGTAGCATCAAGAAAATAAAAATGACTGAAGACAGTAATAACTATTTTTTTAACTTTTAGTAATGGTGTTTTGACCTAAAGGTGTGTTATTGCATTGCATTTTCATAAAAGATGATGCTGTGGTTGTGGTAGTACTTTTAAAAGCATGAAAATATGGATAACTAGTCAAAGACAGGTTGATTTCTACATCTAAATATCTCTCTTATCTAAAAATGCACATTTTTTTTTAAATCCAAATGTCTCTTCAACTTTGAAATGTTTTTGAATCAATCACTAGAACTGATGTGGTGGTCGTATCTTATGGATGCCAGTTTGAATTAAAATATTACAGCATGAAATGCTCTCGATGTCATGTCTATTTGATGTAGGTTTTAACTCACTATCATCAGGTACTGCTTATGGACAAAACCAAAATTTATTTGATTTGAGATGGCATTTGTCTATGAATCATGTGATAATGTCTTGAATTTGCCAAATATCATTTTTGAATTTTTTTTTTTTTAACTTCTTCTTTTCTACAGAGCATTTCTGAAGTATGTTGATTGCATAGTAGCTGCTTTGTGTTATAAACAGGTAACATGTATTGGTTGTCTGTCACCCAAAACTACTAGGAAGCAAGATAGCTAATAGCTTTAGTGCTAAAAAACCTGACATTTCTTTCATTAAATGATGGTGTCATGATACACCAAGAAAGAGTTCTGAACATCTATGCAAAACATTAGCATATCTTAAGTGACTTGAGTCTTACTTTCATCTGGCAGTTACCTGATAGTTAATGCATGGGAAATATCTGAAAGCTTTACAGTATGGATGTCGTAGGCTAATGGAAAATAAAAAAGGGTGTTTTGCAATGAGCGCCATCATTTCACAATGCACCTGGCTAATTTGAAAATTATCAAGCACTTTCTAATTGGTCTGATAATTTTAGGCTAATTTTATTGAGCCCGTTACCTTTAAGTTAACCTTAAATAGAAGATGTGCAACTAATTTACTTGAACAACCTGGTTTCATTCAGGCTTATTGCAGTAAGCCTTAAGTTATGCTAACTGAAAGCAGCACCATGGATGAGTCTTCAGAAACTAGCCGAAACTTGCATGGCAATAGACAGCAAAGTTTCCTCTTCCTCCTTCTTCTACCTCATTGCTCATTAGTAGTTGAATATTGTTTCAAAAGTCTATATAGCCTGGGCTGATCCTAGTGGGAGGCAAGATGGTACACAGCATGTTGGCAGGCAAATTTAAGGGTGGTGAAATGATTATCAAACATAATTTTTTTCTCTTAAAAAAGGGGGAGAGCAATTTTAATTTGCACGTAGCCGTTTGACGGTCTAGTATCGACACTGTGTTTAGTATTCTGTTAAATAATTTTTTTTAAATAGGCTGAGGACAGTACACAGAACAGTAGCAATAGTAAAAGTACAAACTTTATAAAACTACTATATCATACATTCATTAGATCAAGGCTAATTATACTGTAATATTTTATAAGCTTTTTAAACATGCACAAGCAACTTCTCGTATTTTCTCAATTTTTCTGGATATTAAAAGAGTACAATTAGGAGATATCTATTATTAAAATGTTAGATGCGTGTGCTCCTGTATTTAATTTTCCCGGTTATCTTCAAATAAGTCTCTTGCTGCATTGCACGGGAATATAAAACGATTTTAGTAACAATTCTGTTAAAAATAGCAAACTAAATAAATACAAAAATCCATAACAATATTATTAAATTGACAATTCATAAGCTTCACTTCTAAACAAAGTATGATGTTTTTATATGAATTTAAAAAAATACACAGTAAATATCTGTGATTAAAACAAATGGGCATATAAATATTCACAAACTTTTTTATTCGTTTTCATGTTAATGAAAACTTTCAGTCTAAAATCAAATTATACTTTATGCATTATTGCATCACTTATGTTGCCATAAATTAATTTTTTGACTTTCTTTGTTTTTAGGTTTAATTGGCTCTGTTATTGGAATATTTATTTTGGCCATGCTGTATGAAGGCATAAAATTCTTCAGAGAGTATTTGTTTAAAAAATATTTCACATCTTTAGAGTATTCTTCAGTATCTGTATTAGGAGATGATGGGAAACCTGTAACAGAAGTTCATAAAGTTGCAAAGTAATACAATATTTACTGCATCAGTCAAGTATTGTAGGTTATTATTTATTGTAAAATATTATTGTATCTTTTATTCAAATTAAAGATTTTTTTTAATCTTCATAATTATTTTCATATAATGCCAGACAGATTTGCATGATAATTTTTTTAAACCTGTCGCATAAGCAAATTTCCAGCATTCTAATATTCACACTGTTATACTTATTTATTTAATTTTGGATTAATCGGATTTAATTTCGGTAATTTTGGATTTTTTGCATTCATACAAAAAACTGGAAAAACATATTCCTGAGGCAAAGCAGTTTGTTACTCAAATAAGCTATGTCTGTTTTGGTCTGTATGCAATAGGAAGTTGCATAGATGATGAGTTTGTATAATTCTGTGCTTTTGTTTAAGTGAAAACACATCACTGTGTAGATGGGGTGTGAAAAAGAAAAGTGCCAACAAGAATACAAAAAATGAGGGTTTCTCAAAATAAATAAATAAATAAAATCCTAACTTTCTGTGGAAAGAAAACAGCCATGATTTTTTTTAATAGTTATGCTAGTTTAACTAGGAATATAATAGTATGCTATTCTGATTCGAAATTTTGTTGCACTGAGATCAGTTTATTGCTGAACCAGAATTTTAGTAATTACAAGATTCCAAAAAAGTAAAGAAGTCCTGTTTCTGAGGGAAATTCAAGTTATTTATAAATCATGAATCTACTGTGATTCTTGGCCCTCCATCACAATTGTGGATGCTGCAGGGTCCTTGAACTGGTTTTGAAAACACTCAAGATCTAAGATTCTGCATACTAACCTTTTCACTATTACTTTTAGGCAAAGCATACCATCAATTTGTTACATATCTAACTCTTTATAGCCTGTAACAACAATCTACTTTTGCAGTTTATATCTCTTTCTTTGCTGTCTGCAAAATATAAAACTGAGAAGGGGAAATCTTAATTTTTGTTTCTTCTTCTGAATTAGAAAATAATCCTATGTGAGATGCTGCAAAATGAGTAAGATTTAAATCTAACAAGCTAAGGAGTTTTCTTAGAGGCCTAATTTTAAATACAATATATATCACAGCATGATCTGCACATACTGACCAGACCATATTATAATTTTTAACACCTACAATTTAGTCTGGCAGTTCAGATGTTATGAAATTAGTTTTAATTTATTGACTACCCTATGAAATCTGAAAAGCCAATTTGATTGAACTTTATCATATTCAAAATCCTGATTATAATATGATATAATTCTGATTACTGTAATGCAGATTTTTTTTAAAAATCTCATGACTAATTTTGTCTTTGGCATATATTATTGAAAATTCTTTGCAATAATTACCTACGAGTTAATTTAAACTCAATTAGCACACTTTAATTTTTTATTGTTTTGCTAAAGCTTGTCAGGAAGTATGTATGTAATGTTAATTTGCAAGTGCTATCTATTGTAAAATATATGTGTCTATTGTATTTGTAATGCTATTGATTGTGTATCATATGTGCAGCAATAGAATGCACTGCTATTATGTACCAGTTCATTAATGAATAGTTCTGCCATTAGAAACATAATTGTAAAATAATTTCCACCATATTGCATTTATTATAGAACTCTTGCACCAAGGAAAATAGTTCTATAATAAGTACTAATTTAAATACTAATTCTATAATAAATACTAATTTAAGTAACTATGCTTTATTTATCAGTTATTGCAAAAATATATACATTATATATTTACTCGTATTTTTCCTCCTAGTTTTTTAGCAAATGATTTGAAAACTTCTCGTCTATGGTAACAATGTAATGTATGCACAAACAGGAAATTTTTATAAGTAAAAAGAATATTATTGAAACTGATAAGCATTTTGAAATGCTTAGTATAATAATATTAGTATATATTTATGTGTTCTTTTTTTAATCTGGTATGTTTATTATGTATGCTGTCTCTTTAGTAATGATATATACCATATATTTTTCTCCTTCTGTTTTTCAAATGGTAAAATTAGTAGGGCAAAAAAAAGAAAGTACACAAATAAACACAGTATAGAAGATGCATTTTATTTTTCCATAAATTCTGTAATAAACCTCAAAAAGATTCTTTTAGTTATTTCAAAGTACTCATTATGTATAATAATTTTTACACGTCTTTGTAAAATTATTTTCATATCTTTTCAGGAATCGAATGCTTAGTTGGCCCCACATGTTACAGACTTTTCTTCATGTTATACAAATGGTTCTAAGCTATTTCCTGATGCTTATATTTATGACATATAATGTTTGGTTATGCTTACCAGTTGTAGTAGGTGCTGGTGTTGGATACTTTTTGTTTGGCTGGAGAAAAGCAACTGTGGTTGATATAACTGAACATTGTCATTGAAGAACAGGGGAATCAAGTGTCAAATAATTAAAAACTTTGTAATGAAATGTTTGTGATTATATATGTATATACTCTTTGCCTTTTAAAGCTAAGGCAATATATGTAAAAATGCATGCTTGAATCTCAAAAAAAAAAAAAAAAAAAAAAAAAAAAAAGGTACTAATGAAGAATGTTTTATTACTTTATATGTTCAATGTTTTATTGGATCTAATTTTTTATGAGATTACTTCTCAATGCAATAAACTTACACATTTAAAAATTAGGATGAAACTATGGAATTATGGCAAAAGTAATATGTTACACAAAGTTTCAAAATGTCGCTTTTGATATTGTGGTCTGTTGTTTGGTTCTGGATGCAATAACCATTATTTAATTTACATATACAAACTATATTATTAAACATATTTCAAAGTTTTGTCAGCAGTGATTTGAATTATGAATGCAATAAAAAAGTATTGATTGGCATTTTGATCTTACTTAACTCTGTATCCAAAAACTGAATGCTTAGACGTTTCTCAAGGTTTTACAACAGTGACTTTTCTCAAGGTTTTACAACAGTGATTATCGATGTGATAAAAATTTATTAATTGTATTGCATATTTATTTGATGTAAAATGTAAATTCATTAATTTTTAAAATTTTATCTTTTGTTACATTGTAGCATTTAATATTTAAACTCATTCAGAATTTTTATGCATTCCATAAAAATGTCTGATGTATACAAAAATTTGTGATAAAGGAATGCAGTTGGAAAGGAAAATTAAGTGTATCTTAATCTGCTAAAATAATTATGCACATGTAAAGAGTATAATGACATGATTTACATATTTTTAAAATTCTATTTTAAGGAATTGGTTTTGTGTGTATTATAATACAAATGTAATGTTTAGAATGAATGACAAATATCTTTCCTGTTGTACCTATTACTTCAGGATAAGTATGTGTTTTGTTATTATTTTTCTTTTTATTATTATTTTTTAAATATATTATGCATTATTTCCTTCTATTTTCATGTGGCATATCCTGCTTTGTGATAAATACTTCAATTAGTTAAGAGTTATTCTAAAATTATATAAATTACTTTACTATATTTGTGATGTCATATTTAAATTTTTTTATTTATTAAATTTATGGCTGTCAGCATCATTTATGTATTGTTATATAAACTGGTATTTGAATGATTGGATGTTTATGCAATTTTTATCACATACATATTTTTTAATCTGTATTGAAAAATATATAAAATTTGTCATTTTGAAACAGAAATATAAAGTAATAATTTTGTCTTAGTTTTCAGTATTAATGCCAAGGATCAGGGACCAGGAGATATTTGAAAAATGTGTTATCTGTGTAAAAATTTAAAAAAATTATAAAATTATATCTAAGACCTAATTGAGATTTTCTAATATAAAAATGTATGAAATATATTATTTTTCCTGTAAAATATTCTCTATAAATTATAAATACTAGATTTATTAATTTAATGAGTTATATTTTTTCGATATTTAAAAATTCTTTGTTTATTGCATCTGTTAATGCCTTTCTTTTAATCCCTTTATGCCATAATGTGTATTCAAAGTATTGTAGTATTATGCTAACGGGTTAAATAACTTTATGCACAAACACATGTATTCTTACATTTTACATTAATTTTTATGTATTTAGTTGAGTATATTCTGACTATCTTCCTTTAAAAAATATCATTATTTTTATTTTGCACTCGAACTATGTAGCATAAAATATGAAGAAAAGAGAAAATAAAAATGTTATTTTTTTGTTTAGTTGCTTTCTTCTACTTGAAATTTGGAAGTATGATTAATTGTTCTACACTGATATTCAAAATTAAGAGAATAAACACCTGTTTTTAAATTTCTCGAAAGTAGCCGGCAGAATTTAATGAAATTTTTTATGGATACACAGTAATAAAATACAACAATTTATAGAGGTGAAAGTACTGTCTTATGATCACGATAAAAGGAAGATGCAACATTGACGTTGTGAGATAATGCCTAAAGTGAGGCTAATAGGGATATGGTCACCTTTAACAGACACACAGTGAGTCATCATACTGCTAATGAGCTGTCGACGAGTTCCTGAAGTAGCTGTGCTCACTTTTGCACTAAAGCAATTCTTAGCTTCCGAGTAGTTTTCTCGAAGACTGTTCGCAAATTGCAGTTTGCTTCCCAAAAGCATGCTGCCCTTATTCAATCCTCTTCAAGTCACGATATCTTGCTGGCCGACCCATTCATGGAATATCCTCACTTACGTATATTTATTCACTGGTTAAGGAGTATTGAACGGAAGTTGTCATCCATAAATAGAAATTAGAGCTGATTATGCTCTTGAAAAAGTTGCACATAAGTATCTAAGACTTCCTATCTCTACCTCTAAGCCAGAGGTCAGATCCATAGATATATTTATTGTTGTGATACATTTTAACTGATTCTATTTTCAAATGTTAATGTTTTCTCGAATTTCTTGAGGATATCTTTGTCAATAGCTGTTCCATGTAGACTATCCATAGAAGCTAATTTTTCACTCATCTCAAACTTATTTTTGACTCCTCAAATAAGCAGCAGCAGCAATTGGGCAATACAGCAACGTCTATCAACAATCAATAGCCAACAAAATCACTTAATTCTTTTTACCTTGTTTCAGAGCTTAAATTGCGCCGGCACTTCTTTTATGTAAGTGAAACACAGTCTCAACAAATTTTAATTTAATTATAATTCTGCTTTAAACAATGTTTCTAACTTCTGGATGCATGCCTGTATTTCTCTAATGAACAATGACTGAGGTTGAGACTTTTGAGGAAAGAAAAGCTCCCACCCATATATCAAAGGCTTGTTTTCCAGATAATGCAATGAATTTATGAGTAATTTGTAAAATTTTTGTTCGTGAAAATACTAGAAGTAATCACCTTGGTTGTACACGTCCAATGCTAGTGACCTCCAATTGCAAAGATTCTGCAGACTTTTGAACTATATGTAACCAAACACAGAGGACAAAAATTGTCACTTGTGCAGATCTTGCGTTAGTTCTCATGTTGTTATCAGATCGGATTCGAGGAAATTTTTTTCCTTATTTGCATTTTGCATGACATCTTGACTTGTATCGACTATGAATCACGGTCAAAAAGCATTGAACTGTTCTCTCTTAAAGCTATACTTCGTTAAAATTTCTTTCGATATTCTCATACTGTTTCTAGTATTCTCTTTAATTGTCATAAGCAACATTTTAATTGTTTTACCTTTTTCCATTGGCATGCTGGAAAAAAAATGATTTTTGTTTCTCTCAACCCTTGAAATAGTACGCTATACTGTATATTCAGGGCTTAAATTCCTCCAAAGCCTGGTTGAGCTTTTCTTAGTTTTTGAATGAAATTGCAAGATTATCTGGAGGCCCCAGAAAGACGACGTCCGATATTTTATTTCTTTTATTTAACTATTTTTCATAAATGTAATAATTTATTAAATTTTTATTTATAAATTTTATATATATTTTTTTGAATTTAAATTTAATTATTTGAATTGTTAGATATTTTATCCATTTTTCCCCCTTCTTCCTGACGGCCTTTTCATGGGGCTCCGGCAATTCTGATTTTTTAGAAATTAAGACCTGCCTTGTTTTATAATTGATTCTAGTTCTGGTTCGCGAACTCTTATAAGAAATCGAAATTCTCTAGGCACATTTCTTAGACTGTCACAAGCAAACTTGATCTAATTAATTCAGTGTTGGTAAATGGTTTTCGTTTCCTAGCTAATAAATAAGCTATTTAAGCTGACTAAATTACTGCTTCAATATCATTTTTTACCTTTTACAAGTAAATTGCATAGCGATGAAGCACTCTGTTTTAAACTTTCCAGTTCTAGCGACCACTCATTTTCTGTGAACTTGAATATATCGTTTTTCGTTTGGTAATGAGAATGTATACTGTACTCTTTTAGCGCAACTATTGTATCATTACGTAATAAAATACTTTGTTGTTTAATTCTCTGACAAAATAATTTACTCTCCACTTTACTTTAAAAGCATGATATTGGAAGCCCTCTTTTTTCTTCTGATCTGATCGTGGCAACGGTGAATCATAAATAAAATGAAGTGAAGAGAACAAACTATCACAAAGCGCCGACAGACAAAAATTGGCAGTATAGACAACGCTTATTTCAAGGAAACTGCAGACAACGAAATGCGAATATGGGACACCAGTAGAGCTACTTGAAGTCATTACTCACGAATTCTCATCTCGACTATCGGCAGTTGCGTTATAGCGCGTGATTTGATTTGCATTTCATATAAGAAACAATATTTAGCTACGGACCTTAGTTTGACTCCTGTTTCAAGCAATCAGGAAGCCTTTGTCAAGCGTGGCATACGACTATCCATTATGAAGCTTATCCTCGCCATGACATCTCCTCCCAGGTTATTGAGTTTTTCTGATAGTTGAGGAATTGAGGAAGAGTATCTGGTTCTAGGTTTATTTCAGATGAAGGTATATTAGAGTCAATGTCTAGGCTGAATCTAGACTCGTCACTGAAGTTAGGTCCTAGGCTGATGTTTTCAGCACCATGTCAGATGAGTTCTTTTGTATTAAGGTGGGTGGGACGCAAATAATAATCTTCTATCCAAGATCTTTCTTTTGTGCAGCTTTCGGGAAACAATAAATCCTGAAATTAATGTTCCAGTGGTAACAAAATGCTCCAAGAGAGCTCCGTGACTTTAACATCCTCTGACACTTAGCTGAAAATGCCACATACCGATCTCCATCAGTTGTCGTGACTGTTGGACGCCTTTGCTAAGGCTTCTTAGATACTGACACGGTGTTTCGAACGTGTTTCAGAAATTACAGACAAAACAAGGCTGTTTTCTAATCTGATTTTGGGATTGCTCCTTCTCGAATTTAACGGTGATTCTATATTTCATTCAGTCATCTAAATGTTGATGCTTAATTAATCAACCGCAGTGCTTATCAAATTTAACAAATTTTTGCCACAAATGCTAAATTACTGCCAATGTGTACATAATAATGTAATAATGGAACAACAAATGACCTTTTTGAAAAAAAAAGAAAATCTGATCTGGATACCGCATGACTTCTTTGTACGGCCTATTAAATTATACACATTTTTTGCTGCATTTCATTTAAACTTATTTC